ACAAACTACTTTTAAATACGACTGCGCAACGCAAAAAATATTTTGTAATAGATATTTTAATAGTTAACTATAATAGTGATAATATATATATTAGTTTTTAAGTCATTTTAAGTTATAGTGATAATAACAAAGAAATAACGATAAAATATGTGAAATACTTATTGTAAAATTTTGTAACAACTAAGGTATCGTTGGGTTTTTAAGCAAATGATAGTTTTGACCTAAGCACGCGGTAGGTAAGTTTATTTTGTCAGGAAAATACATAAAACTAACTACAACCTCCTACGCGGCACGTCAAGGTAACCACTGTGGGTTCTTGTGCAGTTGTAATAGGGGCGAGTTTGCAACAAAAATGGGTAGCCTGGTGTGCTGTCGTGTGTACCTAACTAGGTATAATGTAAAGAATCAACCTAACAAAGAAGTTATTTTCAAACCTAAGGTGTTAATTGCAATTTATGTGTAAAACACTGAGTTCTTTCAAAACGTTTAATTAGACACATACAGGGATTCAAAATTCCATGATTCCATTCCTTTAGTAAGTAGTGACACATATGTTTCTATATGATTTATTTCTAAAAAAGCTTAATATAAAAATAACATAATTTTAAGCAGGGTTCGAAAATATCCGATATTTATGATATATATCCGATATATATCGGATATATATCATAAATATCCGATATTTATGATATTTATCAGATATATATCTGATATATATCATAAGAATATTTTCGAACCCTAGGTTCGAAAATATCCGATATATATCCGATATTTATGATATATATCCGATATATATCGGATATATATCATAATATCAGATATATATCCGATATATATCGGATATATATCATAAGGATATTTTCGAACCCTGATTTTAAGTAGGTACACACGGTCACAGTGTTAACTATCCATTTCCGTTTTTGCTCTCGCTGTCATCAAATGGTGATTCTTTGCGATAGTACGAGACGACATGACTAGCAATGTCGTAGAGATGGGTTTCCACCCGGGTAAAAACCCACATGAGGGTAAAAACCCAATAAAAACCCGTTTCATTCCACCCGTGGGTGTTTACACCGGGTGAAAACAAATAATTTTATAATTATTTCAATTGGTATCTTTTCTTTATTTTTATTGAATTTTTCTCATTTAAGTTTATTGATTAATAAGTATAAAGTCAAATTTAACACTAATATGCATTTATATCGTGGACAAATCGTAAAATTGATCACGTTATGATGATGTGACCAATTATTTTATAAAATGGTGTTATTTCAAGAATCGTTGAACCGATTTAGAAGAAATTTAGTAGGAACACAATAATTTGTGATCATGGCAAGGACATGGAGGGGAGGGGGGGGAGGATGCCAAAGATGCTAAACTCTCTCTTTGATGACATTACGGTATAAAGTTACAAATAACAACACCAACTACAAAGTACTTCTGCTTAAAAACTTGAAATCGAACCGCCCTTCCGCCACTGTAACGCATTGTAACGTTTTTCAAGACCTCCTCTCCCCCCAGATTGCATTACGTAACACTAGAACGCCCCCTTAGCAACAAATACCACTTCTCACTTTAAAAAAACGCTATTTTTGTTTTCACCCACCAGAATGGGTGATAATGGGTAAAAACCGGGTTTTTACCCAAATCACCCAGTTTTAACCCAATCGGGTGAAATGGGTTTTTACCCACTACCCATCTCTAGCAATGTGTAGTTAACACATTGCCGATAGTACATACTAACAATTACATATCTTTTCGTTTTATAATTAATTTTCGTCGCCCATTTCAAGTTTTTTGCAACGGAATGGTCAATGGAAGGCTCAGCCACAGCTCAGTGGTCAGAGTGACTGTGAAGTGATTCATAATATCAAATAGGTGTTTGTTATTTAAATAGTTTACTGTTCTACTATAATAATACGCATGTACAGTCAGCGTCAAATAGTTCGTAACGCCCAAAGTAGCCAAAAAGTTCGCAACACGTCTTTGTTACAATTGGAATAAAGTTGTGCGAACTTTTTGGCCACTTTGGGTGTCACGAATTATTTGACGCTGACTATACCTACTAGACATAATAAAAACCTGTTGAGTAGTTAGTCATGTCGCAATTTAAGTTAAAAACTTGAGTTTTTTGTAAAGTACTCAATACTCCTACGTTTTAAACAAATATTCGGTCATCGCACGTGACTGGAAAAATCCATTCATAAACATTATTGGTATTATTAAGATTGATGGGAAGGACATAGGTAGTCGAAGACAAGAAGCCGAGGGTTCTATTCTCCGTCCAATCCAAATAAAAGAGAGGTGTTTGTTTTTATTGTGTGAGATTAGGAAGACCAGAAAGGCTAAAACAGTGGATCTCATATCTACGATACAATGAAAATAGGTACTTAAGTAGGTACCTACTTAATTATATCTTCTTTATGGTAGCGCATTTTCTTACATAACTTTTCAATTCCTATCATTGGAGGTCCGAAAATATTTCTCATACAATTTGATACCATAATGATCATTCTTCATAAAAAATTTAAAACCTACATATTTAAAAACATAATCTTTGATATTCATAATATCACTAATCATACACTTAGTTTTTACTAATATTTGTTTTCATAAATTTTTCTATACTAATGATCGAAACTCATAATCATTCGAATAAATAACTATAATATTCATAAACGTGATGTATCCTAATATTTGTTTTCATAAATTTATTACTCATAAGTGTATTTATCCATATTATTGAAAATCATGATGTCTATATTCGTATTAAATCGTATTTTAACATTAAATTAATTTGAAATGGTCCAAAACAGGCAATATTTTGTGCCACAAAACTAACGTGACAGAAACGAATCGCTGCAAAACCGACTCCACGTAGTCTTGTCTGCCCTACCCCTAGAGTGTAATTTAAAAGCCGGAGGCGCGGAGGGAGGGCAGCCCTCGCCCGCTGTAACGAGGCTCAGGCGCCCGGGTGAGCTGGAGCGGCTGAGGCTGGTCGCCGAGGCGCCGAAGGCGCCGATGGCGATCCAAAAAGCCGAAGCTGCGGAAGCAAGCGTGGGCACCTGAGCCTCGTTACGCAAGGGCGGAAGGGCTGCACATCCCGCAGCGCCGGAGACGAGGAGATACCAATGCATGCTGCATGCTTGCTTTCATGCTGCATGCTCTGCATGCTTATCTACTCTATTAAATTATATATGATTTTTTTAAAGATACGAGTATGTCTGTTATAAAGTAAATTATTCTGAACAACAACATTATGAGTTGAAGTATGTTCTTAGTAACAACATTATTAATTAAAACAATATGATCAATGAATGTTATGAAGAAAAAAGATCTGAAAATAAAAATTATGTATTTTAAATGGTTCTTGATAGTAACAGTATTGATAAAAAAAATATGATTACTAACTGTTATGAGCTCCGATGGTAGTAATAAAAATGTATGAATAAAAAAAGTATGAAAAATAAAATTATGAAGAGAGATTATTATGAACACAAATCGGTAGTAAGATAAAGAATAGGATTTAGAATTTTATGTGAGCCAATATAGAACCCTTCTTTATTCTTACAAAAAGCTGTAATTAGAGATTTTTAAACAATCTGCAGAAAATAAATAATTTTAACAAGAGACAACGCAAATTTTTAATTTTATTGTCATTTAACGGCACTTGAGTATGTTAAACTTAGCAAAATACGTACAATGTAGGTACTTATATGTATAGCACCGTGTGGTGTGTAGTTGTTTCTCGTAAAAAGTGCAGTCAACTGGATAATAACCAGTCTACACATGTCCGTTATGATTTATCCATAACGTATGATTACTGATAGGCCATCAGTCATGACGGTGGCCAATGTCAATGATGCCTCAATCAGCTAAATTGCCGCTGTTGATGTATTTCCCACGCTCGCTTTGACAATGTCATGGGCGAGAGTATCTTATTTCTTTCTTACATAGGTATTTATTTTACCAGTAAAATTACTTAGTCACGGACATTGAAGCATTTCCTACCACACAGATAACAATTAGGCAAGGATACTGTTATTATATATATAACTTTTTTTATTATTATTTTTACATTTTTTATTTTTAAGCTTGTAGCGCTTTGGACCTGCTCTGTAAGCTTACAAGTGTTATGTACCTCATACTAATAAATAAATAAGTAAATACACTGAATGGCGTTAACTGATTTCGGTAAGATCTTTTTATACAGGTCATAATTACTTAAGTAAATAAATAAATATCCATGCACATTTACACTGCCCCAAACTTAATAAGGAAAGCTTGTGTTGTGTACCTGGTAAATAAACAGATACAGTGTTCATTGAATATCAAAAACGTGCAGCAAAATATTTGTTTTACCTGCGTTTGTTTACCTGGTAAATCAATGCGCGTATTGTGTAGGTATAATGTTTAAAAAAAAATGATTGCCCACAACTGGAATAATAGTCTAGCTAGTGGGTGCCTTAGAGATCATAGCGGCTGTTGCAGGCCTGATGTTCACATATTTATTGGTCCTTTAGTCGCTTATTACGACATTCAGGGAAAAAGTGGGAGTGGTGGTCCTATCCAGTTTTCATTCCTCTTCCAGAACCACATGGCATGTTAAAATTCTATGCTATAACTAATGGAGAACTCCTTTATCTTTCCAGATATCCGAGGCGAGCTTCGTGACAAGCGTGGAAGAGTCGAACCGGGTGGACCAATGCACACAGACGCCACCTAGCGGGAAGGGCAAGCCTCGCACGCTGCAGAGGTACCATACCTCCGAACACCTCTACGAGAGGTCCCATAGAACCCGCTTTAAGCACGATACGAGACCCAAGAGCTTGGGGCTGAGTGACACGTACCCTCTCTTCGCCAAGCCACCGAGTTATGAAAGCCACCCAAAGTAAGGCTAGCTGTAAGCAACTTTTTTGTTTTCTTACAAAAGTATAAACTTGGCTTTGTTTTTACCCCACGTCCGATAAAGCGGGTCCTATACGACCTCTCGAAGAGGTATCACACCTCCGAACACCTCTACGAGAGGTCCCATAGAACCCGCTTTAAGCACGACACGAGACCCAAGAGCTTGGGGCTGAGTGACACGTACCCTCTCTTCGCCAAGCCACCGAGTTATGAAAGCCACCTAAAGTAAGGCTAAGCTGTAAGCAACTTTTTTGTTTCCTTACAAAAGAATCAACTTGGCTTATGTTTGTACTCCATGTCCTAAACTAGTACAGCACTCGGGGCGTAGAGTGAGATTAAGTACGTCAAACGCATTCCTTCGTTAAAAATATGTCGATTTTAGTTCTTGAAAGTTTCCGTTAGTCGCGCTGTATAATCCGTTGTTAATTAAACTCAAAAACAAAATGTTTCACAGAGAAACTAAATAAGTTTTATCGTTAAATACGAACTTGTCACATTGCATAGGGAGTCAGTTCATTGTTTTAAGACACCTAAAAATATAAAGTATTTTTCTTACAACTTCACACAATGGATTTTATATACATCTTTGACACAATGTTAGTAGTTAGGTACCTAATGTTATCTTTATATGTATAATTTATTCTTTGTTACTGCAAGCCACAAAGTTATATACCTAAATATTTAAAAATGTTGTCAATCAACCATCACTTAAAATTTTGCATTTATTAATTTAAAGTTGACAACTTTTAAACAAATCTACAATCAAAATATAAATCTATAGAATTGACGGTAGAAAACAAACACTATGCGTAAACAATTACCGTCAGTCAAATAAGGTCATAGCTACATAGTAAGAAAATTTCTCGTTGTAATAGAACGTAAACAATGTGTTTAATGAAACAAAGTTATAAATAAAGCAGTGTTACGTCAAGTGAACAAGGTTCTGGTTTTGCTTAGTTCTTCTACTTCGTTATAAAAATAATAGAAAGTAAGTGTTACTGCATGATTACAAAAACAATAGGACTTATATAAATTTAAATTCAAGTGTATCAATATTTCATGGAAGATTAATTCACGAGAATTTCGGTCTTCGGTCAACGTCTTGTAATTGTAGTCTTCCGTATGTGTCCACTTAACCAACATAACTTACATAGCATTAATTAACTGGTATGAGGTAGGTACTTTTATATTAAAAGCTGCTTCCCCCGGGACAAACTTGACCTTCACTGGTTGGGTTTTTTTTATTGGCGGTCAAGCTGTAGATCCTGGCTAGACAGGAGTTGCAGCGGTGGGAAGTTGGGAACAAGAAGTGAGAATAGTCCCGTTATAAGCTGCTTGCCGTCATTAATTTATACCAGACTGTAGGCTGCAGTAGCGGCTATAGATTAAAAAAATCAGTTTCCATTGTACCTACTTCATTGTTTTTTTTTATTTATGATAAAATAATGGTGATTAGGTACTTACCTAAGTATTCATGAATCTGTTAAATCTTTAATTTTGGGATTCGCGACCGGAATAATTATTATTACATACACTTACGCTTATGGTTAGTTGCGGGATCACATTCACACCCCATTAGGGGCAATTACGAGGGGTTTTACAACAAAAGTAATGAGAATGGATATTTCTAGCCATCACAAAAATCTTTAAAAAATAGGTAGGTAGCTAGAAACTGGTAAAAAAAAACATTTAAGTTCACCATTGCGATTTGCGTTTAAGAATTACATTCACCTGAACACAACCAGTTATTGTATTTTCAATATCTTATTTTCTTTTATACTTAATGCCAAATGCCCTCAACAGTATTTGAAGCTCACTGGTTTCGCCAATAACGTTTGAAGACTGTGATGTTTGAGCCATAACCTTCTGTCCCCAGGTTCAAAGTGAACGTGACTGACAGCCCAACGATCTCAATCACACCGCCCCACAGTTTGGACTACGCCCCCAAAGCGGGGTGGGGCAGCCCCAACGGCAGCGCGACCCCCAACGGGATGGTCTCCAGCCGGTCGGGGGCCACCACCGTCCTCCTGAGCCCTGGCTACCTGCAGGGCCCTTGCCAATGTAACGCGTCTATAAAGGTACGTGACTGACAGCCCAACGATCTCAATCACATCGCCCCACAGTTTGGACTACGCCCCCAAAGCGGGGTGGGGCAGCCCCAACGGAATGGTCTCCAGCCGGTCGGGGGCCACCACCGTCCTCCTGAGCCCTGGGTACCTGCAGGGCCCTTGCCAATGTAACGCATCTATAAAGGTACGTACTTCGTACCTATTTGTACCTTAGGTTCCTGAAGTATCTTGCTGTAAACACCGTGGGATATAAATGTTTTTAAACGTCAGCGATAAGTATCTGTGTTCTTGATGGAAGGGGTTTGGAATCAGGAAATCTCTTTCTCAGTTCAAAAAAAGTCTTCAAGTACATAACACGACATATTCAATTACCTACACACGGTACATGTAATTTACTAATATATTAATATTGCACACATCACACAAGGAGCGGTTATCATACGCGTGCGACTGATACAAATCCTCAAGTCCATAGTTCTCTTCAATTCCTTCTCTTCATTCCATCTGGACAACTCAACTTGCTAATTTGCTCTCCCTCTCCAGAAAAGACAGGAACTGAATGTTGAGATGTTCCTGGTAAAGTCCATTGTTAAGTCATCTATAAGCATATGGGTATATGTAACACCAAATGTGACGTACCTATATTTCTTTATTGCAGAGCGTAAGTGAAGTAGCGTTAGCCATGCCAGTGTCAGCAGGGTGGACCGACGAGTCGCCGGCGACGGGCCCATCCGATGGCCTGTCGTGGAGGCGGCTGCACATGTCGCGAGCCAAGCTGAAAGCTACGGCCACCACCTCCGAACTGCTATCAGGTGAACCATCTTTCATTTCTTTAGGAATTTAAATGAAATATGATAGGTCTGATAGATACTGGATGCGGGAGACATTTTCTTTGTCCTGTAGTGAACGTCATTTGGCTGAAAAGAACGAAATTTGATGGGTGTTGATTGCCATCACAGATACACTTCTCCAGATATCTACGGGTCTGCTTACCATACATCAAGGTCCTTCCAAATGTATCTCAAAACTTGATTCAATCAAACTAATACATAGTTCCAGTTTGTTCAAATTGTCGTGAGTGAGCGTGACTCAAATGGAATGAAAATATCGTCCAATATGTAAATCATCACATAGATTTAGCAAAGATGCTTTAGCACTGCCTTACAACACAGCAGTTGTTCATGTTAAAAAGATTCGACTGTTGACCTTCATGACTCATTTTACTAATAGCTGAAGTCATTTCCGTAGATTTTAGCATTTTTTATTGACTCTTCAACGTCTAATCACTGGAATCGCCATAATACATGTCTATTACCAACTATTGGAGCCTTTGCATCTATACTTATTTGACAATTTATACATAATCCTTATAAAATTCCATCGAGGAATACTTTAATTCGACTTCTTCATACGAAATACCGTTTTGGCTTTTCTAACCTGTGATTTCCACTGAAAACCAATGTCCCAAAATTTCGAAACATTATTTTCGTCTTAAGCCCAGAACAGACGGTGAAACTTTTGAGTTGCATCTAAGTTTCTGCTATAGCGTCCGTTGAGAGATCACACATAACGCGACCAGTTTGAAACTTTCAGTTTCAGTTCATCAGAATCACCACAAAGTTGCAGTTTCGTTGCAGTTGCGTTTCACCATCTGTTCTGGGCCTTATACTTATGTAGTTTTAATTTGTTGATGTAGCCAATTTCCGATAATTTCAAAGGTATCAATAATTTTTGTCTATTTCTCACAGGCTTCGCCATGGTAGCAATGGTGGAACTCCAAATCAACGAGCCGACGAACGTGCCAGAATGGCTCTTCGTAATGTTCGCTGTCTGCACCACCGTGCTGGTCGCAGTCCATATCTTTGCACTCATGATCTCCACCTACCTCCTGCCGAATATCGACGCGGTGAGCAAGATGGAGACTCCTGGTGGCCCGGCGAGAGCCCTGAGGGACTCCCCTCACGAACGCATGAGAGGCTTCATAGAGCTCGCGTGGGCATTTAGTACAGTTCTTGGTAAGTATTCGTATGTAGATTTTAAATCCAGTATCTGGGTCATTCCATNAGAGTTGACATATTTTTGTGGAATGGCCCATCTAGGTAATGTAGCTAGCCTATGTCCGTGACTCTCAACTTGGCATGGGCGGGGCAAGGCAAACTGACAGAACGTCGTCGTAGCCTTCGTCACCATGGGTAACGATATTGCTGAGTGAGGTCCTATTGCAATGGACATTGTCCCTGATCAAATTCCTTTTTTTTCATCTTTCTTTGTGTTTTCTTGGGATATATTTATTTTGTGACTAATCTAAGAAAAGGAAGCGGGTAATGGCACTGTCCTCCGGTTCAATTCCTGGTCAGATCATAGTTTTCCATTGAAATTATTCTCTTATCAGAAAGATATTTAAGCAAGCGGAAGGCGTGGGTTCAATTCCCGCCTTAGGCAGTTCGATTTTATCAAGTTATTTATAATTTTCAAAAAAAGATATTCAAGTTTCTTTACTTTGAGTGATACCATCTTGGTGTTCTGCCTGGTTCATACTCATATTTCTTTTAAGTTCTCATGCATCTTTATTCATGTTGTTTCCAGGTCTATTCCTGTTCCTGGTGGAGATTGCGATCTTGTGCTGGGTGAAGTTTTGGGACTACTCATTCGCGGCCGCTACGGCTGCCACCGTCATCGTTATACCAGGTATTTATCGTTACAACCATGTTAAATCGTTATCGCATTCTTCTCCAGCTGGGAAAGATGGTGATCGATTACCATGATAAATCACCAGGCCAGGAAGTCCATTTGCTCCCCTTTTTAAAAAAAATATGGTGATGAAGATGATGCCTCCGATCTGTAAATTTTATTTAGATGTAAGTACCTTTAAACCATCTTGTCATTGGTTTAGATCGTTTCATGCACGAAGACGCGCCCCACCAATTTTTGGTCGAGGGAAGCATGGGGTGCGGGGAGTTTGATCTGAGCGTCACTCATGGATAAAAATTAGCGTGTACCGATAACACTCAAACATTAGCGGAAGAATGGTGGGGCGCGTCTTCGTGGATGAATCGATCTATATTTGGTACTTGTTATGAATATTCCTTGTTTCACGGGATCCAACTGATTTAATATATTTCTGTATCTTCTTTTCAGTGCTAATCGTCTTCGTAGCGTTTGCAATACATTTCTACCACTCACTCGTAGTGCAGAAATGCGAGACGTCAGTCCAGGACATCGAACAGCTGGAAAGCATGAAGCGAGACCTGGACACGGCTACCGTTAAGGTCAACATGTTTTAGGAGTTTTATTACCTAGGACTAGGACATAAGAACTATCTGTGGAGAAAACAAAACCTTGCGGAGACACTGAAACCTGTAGGATCTAAACAGTTGGTCAGGAATTGTAGCATACAGTTCAAAGGCAAAACAAAAACCTAACGCAACAGTGACACAGATGATATAAAATTACAAATAAAAAAATCTCAAGAGTAACACTCAAAATGTAAAGTGTCACGAATATTTTGTAATCTAAATTAAGACGATGGATCTAAAAATCACAACGACTCGAATCGAATTAAATAAAATGGATTTCAAATCCGTTATTGATATTTTAGTTGGTAAGTAAAGCGCGCTTTTTGGGTCTAGTTTCAAAGATATTGAATACCATAAGTGTAACTGGGGTATTCAATATTGTTGCTACTTTTACTGTTTCTTCCATGGAAAGTGATATTGTGATTCATTTTAGGTATAATTACTGCAGGCAGCTAGTTAGTAAATCGTAATTTTGTTAGTCTCAAAGATGTGTTAATTAATTTATGTAAATAAAATAATATTGTTATCTTTTAGTTAAACTTATGTAAAAGACAAACGAATAACTCAAAAATATCATGGTCACTGAATTGATATGTCACATTATAAATCCCAACTAATATTATAAATGCGAAAGTAACTCTGTCTGTCTGTCTGTTACGCTTTCCCGCTTAAACCTCGCAACCGATTTTGATGAAATTTGGCATAGAGATAGTTTGAGTCCCGGGAAAGAACATAGGATAGTTTTTATCCCGGTTTTTGAAACAGGGACGCGCGCGATAAAGTTTTTCTGTGACAGACAAAATTCCACGCGGGCGAAGCCGCGGGCGGAAAGCTAGTTTTTTATAATTATCTTATTCTGAAAATGTAAGAGATTTTATACTTTGTACAACGATCATGTGGTTGACTAGACTACGGATTTTTGCTAATTTAAACAATTGCCTTATGGTTAATTTTATTCTTTAACATGGAATTGAAATTAGATTAAATATTAATTTATGTACTTAGATATTGTGAACGTTTATGTACTCAGTATTTATTATTATTTAAAACAATTTCAAAATGGTGCAAAATTTCTTAGACGTAAGTTATATAGGGTGCTATAAAACACAAAAAATAGTACAATAAAAACAGAATAAAATTGAAAAAGTGGATCTGAAAATGTGTAAAATTCCAGGTCACCAAAGAGTCTTCCAAAATATTGATTTTTTCCATATTAAAAGACTGCGTTAGGGCTTTTAATTTCAGTTCTAGTTTCTTTTAAGAAAATAAATTAATACAATAAACTTAAATTAGGTAATTCATAATGTGCTTACCTAAATGGTGTAGCGATTTATTCTGCTATTCTACGACGAAGTGAGGTGAGATCACTGCGTACGCGCACGCTTTTCGGAACCAAAATTCGCTTAAGAAAAGTAAGAAATAGTACACACAAGTCAATTATACCTTCTTTACCAGATTTTGCGGTAAAGACAAGATTTGACGTCACTAGTTCGCGAATCGCGAAATTTTTGTCTTATTTCTATTGATGATTAATTGTGTCAACTACCACCCCGCGGGTAGATGGCGATGGAGTGTAAAATAACTCTTATGAAGGACTAAACAAGATCGATATTGTGATATTTTGGAAACATGATATTTTAAAATGTGAGTAAAATAAGTTTAATTCTACAGAAGTTATCGCTAGCGGCGATGATGACAATGTATTAATTTATATCATAGTATGTATACCTAGTTAGTTATTCTGACCCATGTGTTGTAATAGTTAAATAAAAGATGATAATGTAATTTGTTAATAAAGTAAAATTTATAATATTCCATCTCAATTCTTTTTTTACCTTTATAACTCATCCTAATTAAAAATAGATCCTTGTAAAGTATGACCTATCTACTAGATAATTTTATATTGAAATCCCGAGAATCCGAGAGAATGACGATTTAGATCAGAGAAAAACCAAAATTTAATCTCCTTTTCACAATTTTATTTCATTTTTCAAGTCAAATATTACAAAAACGATCAGCCTTACAGATTCAATTTAAAAAATACCAGCAAACTTATTACTAGTAAAATAAAGTTGCACCTAAATCAATATTAGGACTATAAGCAGAATATTAATTATGTTAATGAAATAGAAATGGCTTAAAATGCACAAAAACTATTTGTTCTGAAGAAACTACACATTTAAATCTACTAATATCAATGCCTAAGTAGTTTCGGCAAGGGAGAATACATACATTTTAGGGCTTATAAAATAAAATATTTACAATAACAGTAACTTGATGCCAATAAATTGGTGTTAACTAAAACCAATGACTAATTCTTGCACCTTGAAATTTTAATAAGAGCATAATTTTATACAGCTCCCTAAAAACAATATAAATAAACAAAAAGGTGGGAGAGCTAAGTTTATTAGGTACAAGATTTATATTCAGGGATTTGAAACTGGATTAAGTAGATTTATTGTCATCTATAAATTAATCTGAACTTGTAATCCTACAAACAAATGTGTGTTTTGAGTCACATGAAACGAGGGGAAGTCTAAGTTCCTAAGAACATAATTATATTTTGTAAACTTTTTTCAGAATAACTATTTGGCTAAAATAAAACTGAACATCTTTTCTTATCACTGTACTCCACACATAAAACCAAGTTCAGATGTTATAACAGAAAAAAGTGGGTCTCAATAGCAATAGCTGGATAATAATCCAAATTCTAAGTTACTCATAAAGGTGTAAAACTAGTGATATTAAAATTGGGGTCTCAATACCTACATAATTAGATGTTTCATAAGTTCTTAACCTAATAATTATGAGGATTATAATGTATACTGCTGGAAACAACACCTACTACTTCATGAATTGATGAAACTTTCAATTGAATGTGTGTGGAAACTTACAAGTTACAGAGATTGTGAATGTTTTTTAAATTATGAATTTTCTTAGTGATTATGACAATATTCTGATTAATCAATATTTTTAGATGCAAGAGGACTTACGAGTACCTTAAGATTAAAACATTACAATCGTACACTTACAAGATCACATTTCTATGTCCATGCCACTGGAATCTACTAACACACCGTTTCTTCGTTTGGTCTCTACCTCCTCCGATTCCGATTTCTTTTCCTTTTCTTCATCCACTACTTTTAGTTTCGATAGTATGTCTTCTCTGGGCTTCCATACTACTAGAGACATCTGGGGCTTTTCTAACCTGTAAATGAAGTTTAGAAAGTTTACAGTTTGAATCTTATTGGCTAAAGCTAAAAGTCAAAAGTTAAGGTTTAGTTAAGCCAAAAAGGTTTATAAGATTCCATGCTACTGAAGGCAAGTTAATCTGTTGGCCTAAAGCCATTTCAGATGCTTAGGGGGATCATGATATCTGACACCAAGTTGTGACAAGCTGTTATTGCAGTCCACATGATACAAGAAGTGAGTAAAATGTTACAATATTGAGAGAATAGGAAAATCTATAAATAGAATTGCCAATAGGTAAGCACAGAGCTGCATGCATGCTGCCAGACAAAAACAGGAAGTGGAACACAATGAGATAGATGAAAAAAACATAATTCTACCCTTTTTGTACAAATTAAAAATATCTAATTACCTTTCAATAAGTGCTGCAGGTAATAAAGGCTGTTCTTGGATCTTCTTCAGTTCCTCTGACAAAACAATTTTGTGTCCCTTTAATTTGTCACTCAGGCCGGATGTGGAAGGAGCATCCATGTTGATATCCATGAACTCTTCAGCCGCCAGGGAGTGTGGGGTGTACTCGGATGAAATATGAAGGCCATTTAAGTGGGCTGCCATTTTTTCTTCCGTGATCAACTGTTTGGCTGGACTGAAATGATATTATAACGTTTTATTAGTTTTTGAGAGTATGAGTTGGATGGATGGTTGGTTAGGACAACATTGCAATTGCTCAAAGTGAAAGTTGTCTAATACATAAGACTATACAAATTCCTGCTAGTAGTATAATGATTTGAAATTTTCTCCAGACACTAATAATACCAGGAATATCACTTACATCACGGGTTCCACGTCCAAACTCTTCCTTTTGCAATGTATAACAGGTGACATTTTGGGTTCGATCGGAAGAGGCTGCGCTGTGAACTGCACAAGGTGAGGAGGCGAAGACAAGCCCCACGGTAAACCCTGAACGTTCCACGGAGCTCCAGAGGGCGCAGGCATTACATGAGGCCCAGGGTTCTGCTGATTGTACGGCAGAGACGAGGCCAGGGCCTGCTGCGCAAACATCTGCTTAGCAAGCTCATCTGACTGGTTATACGGGTACGCTGAATATCCATAAATGTCCATATTTGTTCACTTTTGTAAGAAAACAAAAAAATAAAGGAAAAAACCGGGGAAAGTCGGAATATTTAACACAAATCGCACTTGAAACGCACAACGAGACAATAACAAATACCAACTGACAGATTAGATTTTTTATTGGGCTTCGTTGGTAATGGAAGAGCAAGGAATGTTCTTGAACATTCGGTGAATAGCGATTTACTGAAAGAATTATTAACTGTTAATAATTAAAAACTACATTTTTTCAAAGGAAAATGAAATAATTAGCTAAATCCAAAGAATTTTGCATGTATTTAATATTATGTAGGATTTTTTAAAATTTAATTTATGAATTGGAGCGTGCGTGCGTAAATTGACAGTGACAGAAAACAGCTGTTCTGTAGTTCTGTATTATTTTCCAATCTTATTAATTTTTTACAAATTTCATCTAATTAGATAAGATATCAGACCAAATTTTGAATTATATTACCTTATTTATTAAGCGTGAAATGTTTCCAGCAGTGCATCGACTTATTTTACCTCACTTTACATCGTGTAAAAGACAAATTGTTTACGTGCCCAAACATAAACCTCCTGAACAAAAAGACTTCGAAAAGCTAAAAGATTTCTTGATAGCAAACGAAAAGATTTTGGTCCTCACTGGCGCTGGAATCTCCACAGAATCTGGTAAATGTTTTTATTGTAAACACATTCAAAAAAGCTCGAATTTTCCCCCCAAATTATTGAATGTCATTCTAGGAATACTACGCAGTAAATTTTTGTTGGAATGAGGATGCTTAACATAATTTTGTAATTTGCTCAGGTATTCCAGACTACAGATCTGAAGAAGTTGGTCTATACGCGCGCAGTAACCATAAGCCAATACAGTACCAAGAATTCATAAAATATCCCAAAGTAAGGCAAAGGTATTGGGCTAGGAACTTCGTTGGATGGCCACGGTTCAGCAAGATAGAACCAAATGCCACACATCTTGCTATTACTAATCTACAAAAGGTTAGTTCATCACACAAATGTGTAAAAAAGCTAATAGGAACATTATTTTACTAAGATGATAAGATCATTGTATGTCTTTGCAAGTTTAGTATAATAGAGCCATTCTTATTCCATTAATATCCAGTTTTGTGTCATCACAGCATCACTGTATACATCTTTAGATGTCAATCATTCTATCTCTAAAACCAATCATAACTTAAGTAAGGCAATTCTAAACTTGCAGATAGGCAAAGTTACAGCTATTGTAACACAAAACGTAGACAGACTCCATCACAAAGCAGGTTCTCATAATGTTGTAGAACTACATGGCACTGGCTACATAGTCAAATGTCTGAAGTGCCCATACGAAATTGACCGAGAGGAACTGCAGAAAGAGCTATTGAAGAACAACCCTGATATGAGAAGTTCCTTCTCCATGATCAGGCCTGATGGTGACGTGGAATTAACACAGGTACAAACAAAACTCATGAAAACTTTCCATTTTGAGTAACCAACTGGTTCTCTCTTTGCATATTTATTTATTCTTATGCATACTTTTATTTTTCAGGAACAAGTGGACAAATTCAGGACTCCTCTATGCCCCAAATGTGAAGGGCCTTTAAAACCAGACATAGTGTTTTTTGGTGACAATGTACCAAAATACAGAGTTGAAAAAGTGAGACATGAAGTTAGTTCAAGTGATGCTGTTTTTGTACTGGGGTCCAGTTTGACTGTGTATTCCAGTTACAGGATAATTTTACAAGCAAAAGAAGAGAATAAGAATGTGGCCATACTAAACATAGGTCCCACAAGAGCTGATGATCTTGTCCATTTAAAAATATCCACAAAATGTGGTGACATTTTACCTGATCTATGCAAGTCTGTGCATAGCTGAAAGTTCAATTATTTGTGTTGGGACAAAGTGCAATCACACCTACCTCTATGATAGTAATATTAGTGTACAGTGTTATCAATAAACTAAAAATAAAATACTGTTGGCATTTCATTTCAATTATTATTGTATAAAAAAAGAAAGGGATACAAAAGTTTTCTTTAGACCAAGAATGTAATCATCATTTTCTTATAATTTTCACAAAAATATTTTCAATCAATGGAATTCATAAAGGATAGTTCTCGTACATGAAACAATGAATAAGAGATGGGTTAAACTTCAAGCAATTCAATATAACCAACGGTGAAACTTGACACAATCATATAAACCATCTAAGTTCGCAACATGAATAATATTATAGCATTTTTAATGTATCTAAAAACCAGTCATGAAAATCAACAGTTTATGTTCCATGGATAAGGAATCAGTTTTTCTCAAAACTTTTTTGTTTGAATTGACTAACAAGTAATACCTACTATGTTTTCATTAAAGCACAAAACGGTTCAATAATGGTTAAAAAATCTAGTTTGCACTTATTTCTAACAATTTCATCAAAGGCATGTTGAGGCTACCAATCAACTTCTTTTTATGACTTGTCAGTAAAAGTTTCTTCAAACTTATGGCTATACTTGGTGTAGACACTTGTGTACTAATACTCTTTCACTAAATCTTAATTACTGCTAATGTCGTAGCTAGGTACTCAAAACTCAATTATCATCATAAGTAATATTAACTGTATGGTTGTAATTCATTAAAAATGTCATCACTTATTTTGTCAAAATATGAATGAACAGTAGATTTACTTATCAACTAAGAATGGTTTTCTGCAAAATTCAAGACTTTTATTTCTAAGATCCTAATGATGCGACTACAAGTATAGAATTATGTTCCACTTTCTTTGGTCAAAATATAGTTACAGGGATCAATATGTTTAGTAAGTTTATACAAAAAACTGCATTTTGTCATAATGACATAATATCGCACCATTATGTAATACATTTAAACTATTTATTGGAAAAAACAAAGCACTAAGGCTATATACATCTTTCTGCCGATTTATCTTAGTCGTTTCCGAAGTCTAGACATTTTAATATTGACATCATTTAAATACTTATTTCACTATTTAGACAGATTAGCAGAATTTTACTGATTGAGCGAGCATATCACCATAATGTTAACAATCCAAGTCGGTTATATTTTGAGGACTTCCGTTTTAAACATCTAATTCTATAAAACAATGTCAATCAATGTTCCATTTGATATATTTGTCAGTTTTATAAGTAATAATAATTTATGTATGAGCAACATTGTTAATTAACAATGGCTCCTGAACACTTGATATTTGTAATTTCTTATATTTAAATAGTTGTATAGAAGACTTAAATAACTAAATATAGAAGACTTAAAATGACTAACGGAACTTAAATGACAAAAACGCTAACCTTTTCACCTTCCATAAAACACAAAAAGGCATTTTAAAAGCCTGTCATTTAATATCTTTATGTACAGTATAATTAGGGCAGTGTTAAAACGTGTGGTATTTAGTTAATTATTTAAATATTTGCTACTGAAAAAGATCTATCGTATTCATTGCTCATTTGCCTAAATATATCCGAGTTAACTTCGATTTTAACATCTTACTAATAACTTATAACCAGTAATTAGCACTTAAATTAATTAATCAATGATTTAGTTCATACATTATTCGACTATCAGTGCAGTGATTTTAAAAAATCTTGAGTAGACTTCATTTAAGTCGATGGCAAATCAAGCTATACACTGTAAAGTCCGCTCGCTGAGTAGATAGAATTTCGTCCAATGATCCCAAGCTACCCAACCTTATCGCTCGTGCGTAATTATATTGCTATCGCGCTCATATACTCACTGCGGCCGCCTGTCGCACAGTCGCGACAGCAGTAAAATTACGCACGAGCGATAAGGATGGGTACCTTGGGGTCATTGGACAAAATTCTATCTGCTCGGCGACCGGACTTTACCATCTTAAGTGCTTGTAATAGGTACTGTTATGCAACAATAATGCATAGAACGATATGCTGTCGACAGTAAATAATTTAAAGTATGAACTAAACCACTGAGGTATTGAAAACTACGAGGCATTTAAGTTATCGACAATATCACTTAACAAACACATGTACAAACGGATTACGCTCTACATTTTAGTAGCTTGACTTAGGCTAGAAAAACTATCATACTGAAACTTTAAAGGTTGTTCAACAATACAAGAAAGAAAGCCATTACATAATATTTCAACATATTGAGATTTGGTTATTTGTTTCAAATTAAAATTACATTGCAAAGGATTTGGGAATTATTTATACAAGAAAATCATTCGCAAAATGGTAAAGGTCACATGGTCATTATTGTGCTGATTACTAACTATAATACTTGATTGATGCAATCAAATTATTAATTATATCTTCAATGCTAATTAAACATAATTATGTGCACTTATCGGGAAAGGGTAGTAATTAATCCTAACCTACTGCTAACCTCAGCCAAGCGATAGATGATCAGAACTTTGTTTGTACATAAAAAACAGCATAAGTTACTGCAAATATGTATGTTACAAAGTTCCAATAGTAACAATATTTGATTCTGAAATGGGGCATTTGGTTCGATTATCTGGCTATTATAAAATGTAAGTACTTATGTCTCTAATTAGGCCAGATTCCTATCACAAACAAAATACAGTATCAATACAAAGATTTGCCATATCTATGAGAGCGAAAGTTCTATCAACTGTGTGACCAGCATCAAGTGTTATCAAATTAAGCGATCTGTGCATTTTCCTCCAAAAATATGGCACATATTGAAATAATAATTATACAGAATGTGGTTTTGTAAAACAACCCCCATCTCAGGGGTGATAGTACACATGAAAGTAATTACAAGAAAAATATAAATAAAATTTTAACGATTACTTTAATACCGAAAAACCTTGTTCAAACGTTTCCTAAAACTTTCGAGACGGCGCTTGTTACCGCCCGCACCACCAGTGCCGTAACTAGCCTTTTATGCGCCCGGTGCGAGCTTTTTCAAAACTGCGCCCTTGAAAAATGCTCTAACCAGTCTCTGACAATAAAAAGCACAGATTAGAGAGTATGTCTAAAAGTGGACAAATGTGCATAAAAAAATTTAACCTTTTTGAATAAAAAGTAACCTTCTACGGGGGGGGGTTGCGTGCGGAGCGATTGTGTAAGGTTGTTCATGGATGGAAAATGAATACAATTGATCATCAATCATTTACCTAAATTCGAAATTTTGACCATTCCATGAATTCCATAATTCTTCTACAATTTCTGAAAAATCATCTAAAAGTAACCTTTTCATTAGTGTAACCTAAAAGTAACCTTCTGGCAACACTGCGGCTATACCGTTCTGACGCGTCGTCACGTCACGACACATCAGACAAATATAAAACCACCTTTACAAGTGTTGTTGTTTCAAGATCGTTTGAAAAATGCCATATAGATATAGATAGTACAGAGGGCGCGTCTATACCATATTCGCAATAAAACAAAATGTACCTACTAACTACCATGCATGAAACAAAACTAGATACTGGTCTGGTCATTTCTGCGCCCCTCCAGGGTCTGCGCCCTGTGCCTGGGCACCGCTGGCACCGCCCTAGTTACGGCACTGCGCACCACCGCCGCGGGCCCATACCATTTTCCTTATTTCATGGATTTTCCATGAAAATTTAAAATCTTTTTTTGGCATCAGTGTCGTGTATATTACCACCTATGAGATGGGCGTTGTTGTACAAAACCATTCCTTGTATTTCATCTTCGAAGATCATACTATTGGAACTTTGTGTCGTACACACTCAAACGCATTCCTCGTTACACTTAGCAGTCTTAAAATCACAATAAAAATATTTCCACATTGAAATGTTTTGTCACTACAATAACCGTAATACTTTAGCCGGCCGCGCGGGGGGCTTACACACAGAAAAAAGGGCGCTTGTACACAACCCACTGGCGAACAAGGGCGCTTTTACACCAGGGTAGGTGCGAAAGCGTTTATACGCAGCGCAATGGGGCGCGAAAGCGCTTTTGATTAAGCGCCTAGTAGGACGTGAGGGCGCTTGTACACATCTCAGGGCGCACAGGGCGCTTGTAAACAGCTCAACAGAGCACGAAGGCGTTTTTGCACAGCCGAGGCGTGCCCGTAGTCGCTTTTACACAGCCTAGCCTAGCTAGACGCAAAACGCAGCCGAATGGGAATGGCAACCGATAACGGTTTTAGATAGGCCCGGCCCAGTAGGGCCCGAGGGCGGTTTTAGATAGCCCAGTGGGACGCAAGGGCGCTTGTACACAACTCAGGAGAGGTAATGAGGACACATCATAACCCAAGAAAGTTGAACTCAATCCAAGGGAACAATAGGGGCAGTTTAATATTCCTCACTAAGCCACGGGTTGCACAATATTTGTAATGATTCTATGCAAGCTTAGTGAGAATGTGTCTTCTATTGATTTCAAATTTTTATTGATTTAAACGAATTTTGGTCCACTTGCCGCCACTTTAACCTTATCAATCAACTTTAACCTTATCAATCAACTTTTAGGCTATGTCAGGGTGAATTAGCCCTTATAACCATAGCAGGAGTAGCACACTATTTAACTTTAGATCCACACCAATCACTACCACCAGCAGCAGTTTGGAGTTGACACTAGATTTGAAGGTTGGCAATTCGTAAATGTTTTGGCGCGAATGATATGGGCTTGAACACTGAGGTAAACCTCACAGTTTCGCTTTTGCCCGCGGCCGGCTGGCTACGGTCGGTTCGTCTATTGTACGGAACATTATAAGAAGTAATCGGCCTGCGGTTTTTTGGAAGGCACGCCTCGAGACTCCTGCGGCGCGGCTTCAAATATCGTGAACTCGCGTTGGAGGTTTTCGTTCAGTTCTAATATCGCAGCTACGTTGCCGCATCTGTAATGAGAAAATGCAACTAAAAACCTGTTCTTATTGTGGATGGGATAGCGATAAACTGACTGTACGATATCACTAGTTTTCAAGCTGTAGATCCTGGATACACAAGAGTTGGAGCGGTGGTAACGAGAGGTGGAAATAGTCCCGTACTTTACTTAAGTCTTAAGTTAGATAAAGCCTAATGCAATGGCATTTGCCACACGAACCTGTAGCAGTAGTTTGGTACAAACCACACAGTGAGGACGATCTCGTTGAAGTGCCACTTGTAGCCCTCCATAACTAAAGTCCGGTCGCCGAGTAGATAGAATTTCGTCCAATGACCACAAGCTACCCATCCTTATCACTTGCACGTAATTATATTGCTGTCGCGACTGTGCGACGGGCGGCCGCAGTGAGTGTGCGAGCGCGACAGCAATATAATTTAGACGCGAGCGATTAGGATGGGTAGCTTGGGGTCATTGGACGAAATTCTAACTGCTCGGCGACCGCACTTTAGCTGGTGGGCCCGGCAGATCATCTCAATATCGTTGGACACGCTAAACTGAGCCTAATGCAACGGTATTAAGTGTCAGTTTTCCACGTGCGTGTAGCAATAGTTGGGGGCAGACCACACGGTGAGGACAGTCTCGTTGAAGTGCCACTTGTAGCCCTCCATAACTAGTTGATGGGCCCGGCAGATCAAGTATGTCTTTGGACACGCTAAACAGCGCTTAAAGTAAAAGCATTAAGTGTCAGTTTCCCACGTACCTGTAGCAATAGTTGGGGGCAGACCACACAGTCTCGTTGAAGTGCCACTTGTAGCCCTCCATAACTAGCTGATGGGCCCGGGATATCAAGTCTATGTCCTTGGAAACACTAAACAGCGCTTAAAGTAAAAGCATTAAGTGTCAGTTTCCCACGTACCTGTAGCAATAGTTGGGGGCAGACCACACGGTGAGGACAGTCTCGTTGAAGTGCCACTTGTAGCCCTCCATAACTAAAGTCCGGTCGTCGAGTAGATAGAATTTCGTCCAATGATCACAAGCTACCCATCCTTATCACTTACACGTAATTATATTGCTGTCGCGACTGTGCGACGGGCGGCCGCAGTGAGTGTGCGAGCGCGATAGCAATATAATTTACACGCGAGCGATAAGGATGGGTAGCTTGGAGTCATTGGACGAAATTCTAACTGCTCGGCGACCGCACTTTAGCTGGTGGGCCCGGCAGATCATCTCAATGTCGTTGGACACGCTAAACTGAGCCTAATGCAACGGTATTAAGTGTCAGTTTTCCACGTGCGTGTAGCAATAGTTAGGGGCAGACCACACAGTGTGGACGGTCTCGTTGAAGTGCCACTTGTTCGTTCGTTTCAGCCGAAAGACGTCCACTGCTGGACAAAGGCCTCCCCAAGGATTTCCACAAAGACCGGTCCTGCGCCGCTTGCATCCAGGTACTTCCCGCGACCTTCACCAGATCGTCGGTCCACCTAGTGGGAGGCCTGCCCACGCTACGTCTTCCAGCTCGTGGTCGCCACTCAAGAACTTTCCTGCCCCAGCGGCCACTTGTAGCCCTCCATAACTAGCTGATGGGCCCGGCATATCATGTCCATGTCGTTGGACAAGTTAAACAGCGCTTAAAGTGACGGTATTAAGTGTCAGTTTTCCACGTACCTGTAGCAATAGTTGGGGGCAGACCACACAGTGAGGACGGTCTCGTTGAAGTGCCACTTGTAGCCCTCCATAACTAGCTGATGGGTCCGGCATATCAAGTCTATGTCCTTGGACACGCTAAACAGTGCATAAAGTAAAAGCATTAAGTGTCAGTTTCCCACGTACCTGTAGCAATAGTTGGGGGCAGACCACACAGTGAGGACGGTCTCGTTGAAGTGCCACTTGTAGCCCTCCATAACTAGCTGATGGGCCCGGCATATCATGTCGATATCGTTGGACACGTTGAATTGGGCTACCACGTCGGATCCGAATAAGTAGCCCGCGCCTCTGGGGGACACGCCCCAGCCTTGTGTGTCTGGAAAATTGTTATAGATATTTAGGCTGAGTTGCACCATCTTACTTTAACTTTGACAAACGTCAAAAATCTGTCAAACTCCATACAAAAAAGCACCGGTTATTGTTAATGTTACAGTTAAAATGAGGTGGTCCAACTCAGCCTTAGAGTACAGGTCAGCTGTAACTATCGTGATTACTAACTGGCACAACAATCCCTGAGTGTATTTCTTTTGAAGTAAATTATCATGATAGATTTGATCTGTCACAAAATCATTATCGCGCGTCTTGCGATTAACGTAGTCGTCACAACTAGGGTTGCCAGGTCCAAAAACACAAAAGCCGGACTCCTTCATTTGGCCGGACAACCTTTAGTGTCATAGCTCATCATCGGTCGTCCAACATCCTGATGCGTGCGCTTCGTAGCTTCGTATTATTCTGTCAGCCAAATAAAAAGCCTAACAAAAGCCGGACAGGCCGGACAACACAATATTTGGCTGGACAATACCGTAAAAAGCAACCCTAGTCACAACTAATTATTTTAGATAGATCATTCAATTCATCTCTAATTAAATTTTGATAAAGATTGACAAAGGGGTTCAGACATCAATTTCAAAGCACAACTAGGTATTGACGTCAAGTCTATTTTAAATAAAGAATCAAATTATTCATACCTTCAGGGTCACTCCAAAGCAGGTCGCACATAGGCCCGTCGTGTGGCACCTCCTGTTTGCGATCGATGGTGCGGATCTGGTCTAGCGTCTGTATCGAGGGGCTGAGCCCCCCGTGCACGCAGAATATCCGCCCGTCAATGATCGCAGACAAGGACAGATAGTCAAATATTTCTGTGCAGTACCTGGGTGAATCATTTTGTTGATTATTGAAATCACTTTGATAGTTTTGTTGCATATTTCGACCTAATGCCGACGCGTGCAGATCGCCATTGCGCGACCTGTCATTGACCTATAATCGCCCCGGCGATGGCGATTTGAACGCGTTGGTGTGGTTTAAGCTTAAACATTGGGAATCTTATATGGTTGAATTAGGTACCAGTTTGTAAGAAAAATAATGATATAGCTAGATTTGACATACTGAATAAAAATTGTAATGTACAAAACTGTTAAAATCTTAAACTATATGATCTTTCAGTTTCAACAATTAGAAGCGATATGTTTGATCGTCTCTTAAACAGAGTAGTTGTGGTTGCATTCGGGCTTGACAGTTAACAAAAGGGTAACTTACGTTAGCTGATGATTTTGTAAGATTTTAAATAGCATCAAGTTGTAAAGTTGACATTGAAAAACATAGCACATTAGCCTTCAGCAGTTTAGCCAACAATGTTGCATCAATGAACAATAATTGGCATGTGCAGTTTTATTATTTTCTTATCAATCTGATAATGAACGTATGGAATAAGAATAAGAATGTCTTTATTCAGCATAATTATCATTTAAGGTATACAAAGCAAGAGTAAGTACATAAAAAAACATAAAAACATAACAGACAATAAATAAAAACATATGCTGAATAGGCGCCCGCTCAGCAAAAATCGCGACATGACACAAACGTCATGCCGAGAAGCTGGTTTTCAGCGGGAACCAATTCGTGATGAGGGTTGCGCGCCCTTCTGGTTAAGACCTGTGGCCGAGACGGTTTAATCAGACAGTTACAGACAGGTTAAAGGCAAGCTACAATCTGGTGACACAGTCCCTGTCTCGTCTGTGACACAGTGAGCCAGGTCGGTCTACTGGCCATAAGGGCGCGCAATAGGGGGCGTGGTAGTCGATAAAAATTACAAGTAAATTCAAAAGAGACAATGATAAATTTTCGGCTGGTTGTCATGGTCTACCTACATCTTCAACAAGCGCTATTCTCCTTATGGCATTATATATATTATATATGGCATTCATATTTATGTGCATCGGAGAATTCTAGCAGAAAAACTTAGGTTGTGAGTCTAGTTGACTCTAACAATTAGCAATTTCTATGCAAGTTAGGCAATTTAGGTAAATAAACTTCTAAATTCTACATCAAAATGTTTACTGATATCTTAAAATAAGTCTTAGTGATTTTAAGGAAACTCACCTCCAAACTGTGATTGATCCATATTTTCTGAGACATTCATCGTAAAAACCATAAACCTGTGTAATTTGTCTTGATTCGTGATTGCCACGGATTAATGTGATTCTGTCTGGATAACGTACCTACAAATAACAAGAAATAACATTATTAAATGGTTTAAATATTTAATCCATGTATCATCATGCTGAAGTAAGAATACCCAAACTATTACTTTCTACTTTGTGTATAATAAATGTGCCAAATAGGAAACTAGTCAGTTGGCAAAGAAATGATGATGAGCCAACACTGTTATAAAACAAACTGTGTTACAAATATAAATTCTACTAACTTTCAATGCCAATAATAGTAAGAAAGTCTCCACAGAATAGAAGCCTCGGTCTACAAAGTCTCCCATAAATAAGTAATTGGTTTCAGGAACATCTCCGCCAACTTTGAACAGTTCTTTCAAGTCGTAGAACTGGCCATGAATGTCACCGCACACCTAAAATAACAGAAATACGTTTAGAAATAGGCACTGGTACATTTATTGTCCCGAAGCAGTGGTAGGGTTAATACTGGGATGTTTAAAAGTGCTTTTATTTATAGTTACATTTGTGAAAACAAATGAGTTTTATGAGTGTTTTTTAAATAGCCATCCTTTGTGTGAAACCAGTCTTGAAGATACTATTTTGCAGTAAGTTGTTCAAGCTTGGAATGATAATGAATGAATCATTGATCAAAGTTAATCAAATGACAAACCAAAACATTGATTGACCCTTATTACCTAACCTTTTTAGTAACTAACAACATAGATGGTGTAATTATGATGTTATTGGCTTGAACAAACAAGGAAATTAGCAAAAATCACCAGCTGATATCGTAATTACCGTCACAGGGGAATCCACGCGCTGTACATTGCTTTCTTCGACGAGAATTTCACGAGCCTTTGCACATAAAGCCTTAACCTCGGCTTCCATTATAATCTCACATCTCTTCAGCTGCTCAATTTGACGATCCAGATCACTTGTGTCCGACATTCTGCTACTTAGTTCAAACGGTAAATCTGCAAACACATCAAAATAGTGGGTAACAAGCTCAGCATCTCAATTAATCATTCATGCCTTCGTAGCAATTCTGTGACTAATAGACGACTGCCGTGACACACTGATGTTGTAACTTGAAGTGCAATTAATGTTACTTACAATTATCTAACTTTTGAGCTCCTGTGTATGATCGTCAAGCATCAGCAACTTGAATTATTTCATCAAACAATCACAATCAATCCGCCATTTACAACCACCACAACGTGAATTCAAAAGGCGCGTTCACACACAGTGTAGCACAGAAAAGATATCAAATAATCTTACTACCATAGACAATTTCTTAATAATGGAAATGAAAACTAGATGGCGTTATATGCAAACTGCGATTCACACGTAAAAACATTTAAATGAAAAACCAAATTCGTAGGCAGTAGCGGCGGCGTAAGGGGGGGGGGGGGATGTAGGGGTAAGATTGTGAAGAAGCACAAAAATGTGATCTAAGTAAAACTAAACTCTGAGCTTTATTCTATATGAAACACAGAGATAACTTTAGACCTTTAAAAGTTTTTGTAACACAGCCCCATGACGTCCACTGCTGGACAAAGGCCCACTTTTATTCATTTTGCTCTTTTAGGGTTATTTTAATCATTTTGCTCGTTCATAATATTTTTTTCTAAATTAGCGAAATCTCTTGGAGGGTAGAGGAACTGCAAAGTTTTTTTTTCTAACTCTGCGTGCCAAGTGTAGATAGTTTAGCCTCTGGTTTAGCCAAGCTTGGCGTTCTTTATTTTTATGGTGAAGTGACAGCTGGAAGAATCATCGCTCATTGGTTTATCAGTTGTCAGTCAGAAATCATAGACGCCTTTTTAACCAATAGGAGTAGCGTATATTTGTTTATCTTCTCGCTCATTGGATGACTAAAAGCTAATATTAGTATTTTTTCCTTGCGAGATAGACACTTGTTTTGTAAAGGCGCCTTCTGCAAATGAGTGTTTGTATTAGAATTGGGGTGTATTAATTATTGATTTATAAATATTAAAATACCAATATTTAGTGAATCTATTGTGTTGTGTATTGTGCTGCAAGATCCAACAATGGGCAATATCCACACCGTCGGCCCTAACGAGGCACTGATAGTTTCAGGTAAGCTAGAGATAAAATCGATTATTTTCCTCATATTTTATGTGTTACTGTAGAAAAACAGGATATAAACCTATTAAAAACGTATTATACCTACTGTTAGGTGTAGTGGAATGTGTTTTAGTTGTAACCTGTTGTTTCTAATATGAAAGACAAGGTTAAAAGATTTTTTGTTTACATCAGTCTACCAGGTAGATTTAAGAGCCATTTCACAAAAATATTCCGCGCGAATTTAGGTAAAAGCTGTCAACGCAACGTCAAAAGAGTAAAAAGAACGCTGAAATGGACAAAAAAAACTTGAGCCGTGACCGTATTAAGACTTGATTTAAGTTATTAATTTTAAGGTAGAATGAGGTATTCAAAATTGATTAATTAATTTAAATTTTTAATAGAGTTTATTAAGTCTTTTATATTTCAATTCATAATGAAACACGAACAGGTATAATATGTAAAATANGGGCACTGTGAATTAAGCAAAAGAGTTTTAGTAAATCCGTTTCATTAATGGTCAACAACAAGGATCGACCTATCTTTCGCAGTTATTAAATAATCTCTGGGTGTTGCTTAAGATAGTAATTCATGCTTCCAAAATCTTAGAAATTCGCACGAAAATGTAAAATGGCTCTTAAATCCAAGGACATTGTAAAATTACGTTTAATTTAGGATAAATTATCAGCTCTAGAGCTTGAATGAGTTGTGACGAATATAGTACTAAGGCTGTTACCAACCAGTTTATTGTTTAAGAATATTTTAAATTGAACTTAAATAAAATAATCTGTTATTCATTCAGATCCTACTTTTATTATTTAAACTAAAAATCTTACCAGGAAACATACCTACTATTAGCAATAATTTAGACTGATGTAGTGGCACTCAATATGTGATTCATGTTCCCTACGATAGATGATTCACATAATGTGGTGCAATGAAGTAGAACATTCAAGGGATTGCTATTAAAGATAAGATTGTTCGTTATGTTGTGGCGCATGCTGAAATTTTGATAACCTATTGATAAGCCTTACAGAGACAAGCATCCAAAGATAATAAAATAATCATTATGAAAAAAAAATATTTGAAGATGCCTACTTTATTTTCTAAACTCTGCATTTATCTGTATCTGTATGGAAAATATTCAAGTAAGACATTTTCAAAGAATCTTATAGACATTTTTAAAGAATCTTATTATCTTATCTCAATCTAAACTCATATAGGTACCTAAATATGCATCTCAGGTGCAGGAAATAAAAAAAAACCATTAAATAAATTTTACTTAAACCAAATGTTCATTATAATTTTTCTTCATAACTTTCAATAACGGTCCACACATTTGGTTTTAAAAATAATTTAATTTCTCCCACTCAACTTTTTTATCAATAAAATTAATGAAAGTACAGAATTACCTATTCAGTATGTTACTTTCAGTTTGTAAACTATATTTATTTTATAATATCCTTCTAACAATTTTGAACGCTGAATGAAAATTTCACATTTATTATTATAAGTCAGTCCATATTCAAGATTTCCAAGTACATTCAATTTCTTTTTTTTTTGTCTTGTGTTAACTTGAAACCAATTTGAAATTAAAATTTTACTTATTTATTATTATTAATATTTTTAAATAATAAAAAAAAACAACAGTTTTATGTGCTTATTTATCTGTCAATAATGTATTATGAATATTTGCAATTTTTTATTTCAATGACGTCATGGTGTATCAATACTAATATCTCGTCGCTCAGTCGTCCCATTCCCGTCGGGAATGAGGTCAACTGGCGGATCAAATGTGATTAGACTAATTTAAAAATAGGTGCGGCCATATTGCTTTTGTTTTTGGCTTTGCCACTTAGTAGGGGAGAGTTCGGTATATTGTACCGCCGGGTAAATTGTACCACCCTCATATTTTGTAAAGTTTTTATTGAATGGCTGTAATTGCAACACTCAGCGATACACAACTAAAATCAATTAATATCGGCCATGTGGTTTTTGCCGTGACAACAAACACGTGTGTTTTATTTTGAAAAGTATTTTTTCATTGTTTTCAAGTAACTTTTGACAATACATGTTTAGTTTGTAATTTTGTTAAATTTAATCACAGGGTGTTTCTAATATATTATTTAGAAGCGTAAGTTAGTGCGGATTACAATTATTTGAAACATTTTTCGGCATTTATAAGCTATATTTTTTACCGATTTTTTAAAATCACTATCACCTAGTCGGCTAAATTGTACCACATCAAGTTGTATGGAACTTTACCAAAGGATTTTAAAATTTTTTTTAGTTAATAATATTTTGAAGTTTTATTAGCGTAGTTATGTTTGAATAACAATAAATGAAAGCAAAAGACTGGCAAAGTAGATTAGTTACAAGTGTGCGTTACGATAATTGGAATTACAAAACTTGTACTCAAAATCATGATAACGTGTAAAACAATATCGATTGTCTATGTTGTTAACTACTGTTCCTTTTCGTTTCCTAATTTGTTAAGAATGTATCGTATAATATTTTGCCATAGTTTTTTTATAGGCTTGAAATTGATTGAAATCCAATTTAGTAACCCTGTGGTACAAATTATCGAACCGGTTGGCTAAATTGGACCGAAGCTCTGAACTCGTACTTTGTTGATTTGTGATAAATTTACAACAATCATGTTAATTAATACTTATGAAATAGTAAGTTGAATAATGTATCTTTTATTATATACCATGGACATTAGCAAAAACAAAAGAAAACTATGTGTAAAATGGGATTGAAAAAAACTGGTCCAAATTAGCGGACTCTCCCTTAAATTGCACTTAATTGCCGCCTGTCGTGGACTACGACCGTATTTTCCCATCTAGGAACGTTATTATTAAAGTTACAAACTTTTGCCTGAGGCTTCTCTGTGTGGCGTATACGCACGCACTCTCGTAAAATCTTTTGCATATTTTTATTTCACTTCAAACTCCGAAAACAAACTAGATCTATAAAGTTTAATATAAATAAATGAATAATGCATCCTTTATGTATCTATTTCCCTTTTTTCTTGCAATTAAGTCTTGTCCTTTTCTTTCGTGTATGATTTTTTTAAGACATGTGGCGATATCTCGCTATTCAGTTAGTGTGTCTAATGGTTTACAATTTACTTTTTATCGTTATTTTATCAGTTCCTAAGCTATTTGCTCGGATAGTTTGGAATCGTTATTGGTGTGTCTAAGATAGGACACTATTTATTTTGTTTGATATAGATACATAGCAGGTAGCACTCACCTGTTTATCGAGCGTCAATGAAATACATAGCGATTTCCTTATCGATTTTCAAGATACATAGTTGATATTTCTTACATTCCGATGAAAATATTTCGTTACGTTTTGTTGCGTTGAAAGGCGTCATCTTATCTTATCACTAGAAATGTCTATTTTGAGCTTTGTTGACAAAAGTGGCAATACAGATTGTAAAATGTTTCCGCGCAGACAAATTAGGGAATTGCCCTATTAAACAGACAATAAAACATCGGTCAGACTATCCTACGAGTAGGCACCTATAAATCCGATACCAATTCCATTGCCCTAATATTTTGGAAATTAAAGAGAAACGCTTAATTCTTGTTACTTTATGTGACAGTAATCGACAAATATCCAAACTAAACGTGCATAAGCCTAACTGACTGAAGGCTATATGCTAATATTATATTGTTTAGGAAAATAACCCATTCCATCACTAACATAATAAATATTCATAAACTATCGTATGGAGTTGATACGGACCGTGTCCTAGCTGACGTATTGCGGTGGTTGACTTGTGAAACACAAGTTGTGCCAATGTGCGAAATATTTTACGGGCGCTAAAAAACTTTTGGTAGCGGCAGAGTAAATACAAATGAGTAGGTTATCTTCATAGAAACGCACCGAGCGCGGTTTGTATGTGAGCGCGCCAATACGTATGCGGCGTATCTATGAAGATAACCTACTCATTTGTATTTACTCTGGTAGCGGCCTGCGTCCAGCGCCTTCCTGCTACCTTTATGATGTCGTCGGTCCACCCAAGGTAGCAGGAAGGCGCTGGACGCAGGCCGCTACCAACCGGGCATCATGGAAAACATTGGGGGAGGCCTACGTTCAGCAGTGGACGTCCTATGGCTGAGATTATGATGATGATAATGAAAAAACTTTTATGAAAGTACTATAAAATTCTGAAAAATGCCATTACGGTAAAATAATTGAATTGTATTTCTAGTCGATATAAATTTTCTAAGCTAATTGGACTTTAGAATATGCCACGGAATAAACCTATTTCTATGCTCCTTGTTTGTATTGATAGGAAACTACGAGCAACCATTATTTATTTAAGAACTACACGTAGTCAATACAATAAAACTATACACGTTACATATCATTGTGAACTATAATGATGGTTGCTTTTGTTACAATGACTCTATGGAGGCCACAGATTGACTGACTCCACGTATAGACCACAGGACATCAGACTATACATATTTGTTGCAAAATTAACCCTAATACAACTGTATAAGATGCCACAGTGTTAAGCTTGGTGTGCTCGTCTGAACATGCAGATTAATAAAATTATTTATACTTACTTCCTTTTTTCAGGTATGATGGTCCACCAAGGATGTGAATATATCATCATTGTGTAGGTAAATATAATGTAACATACAAATTTTGAAATTAAGAGCCTGTTACGTCATATTCACAAGTCTTAGGCCCGGTTTCCACCAAAACAGAGGAGTGTCAGGCGGACTAATTTCTCTATAGAATTTGAAAGGTGCGGAGGTGTGCGAAGCGGAGACGAGAAGTGGAAAAGGTGGAATTGTGTAAAGCAATCGTAATCATTTGACAGTTCATAACGTACGATAAAGTCAGTTAAACAAAGCGTTTGACAGAATAATCGTACGTTATGAACTGTCAAATGATAACGATTGCTTTACACAATTCCACGTGATTGGTTATTCAAAACACTTCTCCGCTCCGCTGGGCGCCCGAAACCGGGCCTTATGATTACTAATGAAACATCTTTTTTTTGTTCATTTAATTTTTTTATTATTATTTACAGTAGATCTATGTTTCAACAGTTTTTTACATGTTTGTTTTCACCCACAGCTCCTGATCCCACCCAAGATCCTGTTATCACCAATCCCTCAACTCCCCGAATTAAACCTTGTGATAAAAACATTGTTAGTTCTTTTTCTTTACGTCATCTACTTGTATAGTATACATAATAGGCCGATTTTTCAATCAAATGTGAAATAAAACCGTTTAATGATCTTTACTGAAAATAAAATTTTAACCCTGTGCTGGTTGCTGGGTGCTGAATACTAAGGTTCAAAAATGACAATCATTTTATCTTTGTTCTGGTTAAAGTGTTACTAGGTACTCATAATTATACTATGGTGTTACCACAAAACCTGTAATAAATTGGTTTAACTTATTGTACAGATTAAGTAACCGAACTTGGCTTGACGCGCGATTGAAAAATCGGCCCTACCTAACTTACCTAAGTAAAGACAAACCATTTAACGTAATGTATTGTATCAAAATAAAGTCTCACTGTATTTTCATCATCAGCATATTTTTTTAGTACATAAATCTTTAGTCACAGTTCTTTTAGTCTCCTCACCACGTTACATAGCTTAGTTCTATTTTGATAACTTCTTTAAAGTAAATAACACTTGGTGGCTAAATAGGTATAATGTGTGGTAATGCGTTATCGCTTAGTTATTTATAATGTAGTGTGTTAAAACCACAATTCTTTGCTCCAGTCTTGTTAGTTTTTGTAAGAGAAGGTTGTTTAAAAAAACTATATCATGCGTTAATAAAACGTTAAATATGAACAAATAATCTAATATTTCGACACCCAAATGTTATTTTAAAATACATTCACATATATAAGGTTTACCCACCTAAAACTAAGGTTTTGTGTTTGTTTTTATAAACTTGTTTACACTGTTTTTCTAAACCTATAGACAAGCAGATTCATATCTGTTGTACACAAAAATATAATGCAACTGTGACTTCTTTCACAATAGTTCTAGTTGTTTCAGAAACGTTTACGCAAGCACATCATAGCTATAATAAGTCTTGCTTGCCGAAAAAACAAGTAGAGGCCGGTTTTGGACGCATTCCAAAGTGCCTGAATCGACCCTGACTTTCCTTTGATAAATTACTCCATCAAATAGAGTCCTATATTACGTAATCGTAGTAATCAATCATGTCTTTATATGACAGTTGGAAAGCTCGACAAAAAGATATAAAGACACTGATCACTTATCAGTCTAAGGTTTAAATAGTCCCCAAGTACTTTTAATCATATCAGCAGCTTTTTCACCTATCATGACCGCAGGCGCATGCGTATGGGCCGAAATAGTACGCGGTATGACGCTTGAGTCGACCACTCGAAGGTTGTTGACTCCATGAACTCGCAATTCTGGGTCCACCACAGCGCGAGGATCCCCAACGGGCCCCATACGACAAGTAGCTATCTGGTGATGTAAAGTCGCAGTGAAAGTCCTTACAGCACACTCCCAGTACTCGTCAGAATCAAAAGCCAAACCGCGACATTTAGGGTATTGCGCCCTATGTATCCGAGCACCAAACTTTTGAAAGGGTTCCGTCGCTGCCATTGCTTGAAGATGACGTATTGATGCTACAAATGTAGCTACATCTCTCGCATCAGTCAAGTAGTTGCCATACATTTTAGGGTGACTGAAAGGATTTGTGTCTCTTAGCTCCAAATGACCCACAGATTTTGGGTGCAGCAGCATGGGGAATGCGCTCCAGGTTTCCGAATTGTCTATGGCTCCTAAAGCTTCATTGAATACTGCTTCGGAAATTCTCATGCCCTTACGAACTGCTCGACTGCCCCCAGGTCCACCGTCCACCACTATAGACCCACCGATGCTGATCAACTCGATATCAGGAACTGGCTCGGGATCATCAGAAACAGGTGTTTTGATATAACCTATCCCTTCCACGCCCCCTGGTGATGATAGATCATTGTCACCGTCTCGCAACCAATCAACCAGATTCTTTATCGACAAAGCTCTATTTTCATTGAAGCTAACGTTCGTTGTGTTTAGACTGAATATCGCTGCGGGGAAGCAGATGTGGTCGTATAGTTCCCGACCGACGGGTAAATCCTTGAGGACTGATATTCCTAGAGAAGATAGATGGTCTCTTGGACCTACTCCTGAAAGCATTAGTAATTGGGGAGATGCAATAGGTCCAGCAGAGAGAATTACTTCCTTGCGTACTCGAGCTGTATACCTAATATTCTTGTTTATAAACTCGACTCCATAGGCGGTGTTTGTCTGCGGATCTATGAGGACTTTAGTCGCCGTTGTTTCAGGCATTATGTGCAGGTTTCGCCTCTTCTTGTGTCTGTGAAGAAACACTTTAGCAGCGCTCTGACGGTGTCCTCTGCTGGTCGTTGTTTGAACGTAACCGAAACCTAATTCATGCGGCGAGTTGTAATCTACCGTAGGATGTCCAAGAATTCTTCCTGCTTCTAGGAAAGCCTTTATCAATTTTGTCCTGAAAAAAAAAACACGCAAATATTATAGTAATCTATAGGCATAAGATGTGTGTAACAAACACTATAATATGACTTGACTATTAATATGAGGTTTTTAAAAAATAAATACCTTTTTGGTACGAATTCTACCGGCATGACTCCGTCCTTGTTTCTGTATGGGTTATTCTCCAAGCCGTCTAAACTGGCCTTTTCTGATTTCTTGTAATACTCCAAAACTTCGTTGTAGGACCTAAAATGTAAATTAAATATTGATTATGACTCTTGGTATTCAACATTATCTATCTTATACAAAATGTTAGTAATTATTGTATATTATTTTATTTGAAATGAACTAAGAAGGCCTGTTTGAGTAGGTATAATGAATATGAATGAATTTACATCTTGCCAGAGATATTCCAAGACCAAGACGCGTAGTAATTTATCTAAGTAAGCCAAATTAATGGGTTTTTTGGATAGTCAAGTATTCTTGAAATGTAATGTTTTTATCATTCCTCTCAGTTTTACCGACCTTGTGCCGTACTGGATTTAATACATCTTGTCATACACTTGTTGGTGTATGATGAGTTGACCATGAACATGACCTTTTTGGTATGAATTTGAAGCATCGTGAGCTGAATGACGATGCATTCATTGTTTGGAATCAATAAGTCAGTAAACATTCTTGCATTGTGAATTAGATTTTATCGAGTACAAAACTCTATCCACTTGTGTGTTTGGTTGGAGTTACGCCAAAACGTTTTCATTTGTTATTTAGATGTACGTTATTTTCTCATCATCTGTTCATACAACTATTCGAAGATTTAATAAATTTCTTGACGTTTTGAAATTTTAGTGCTATTTTCGCAAACATATCCCAGTGAGCAATAATTACACGAGGGCAGTCGACAGTGACTGCTGGCGATTACTGCTTCCCCGTTAGTTACACTGGTTTAAGTGGCCCTTGATCTGTAGTTTCTTCCAACTGCGATCCGGTCCGAAGTCCTGCGGCCGGTCTCGGTATAGATAGATAGACCATGAAGTTGACCCCACTGTCTTACGGCAGTTCAGACATAGAAAGCTGGCTGTGCCTCCTCTAAGGCCCATTCACAGCGGGCTGTGGCGCTGTGCCTCCTGTAATAGTGTTGTTCAAGTTGTCCTTCTTACCATCCGTAGTTCCCGTCGGCCGCGATCCGGTCCCAGTCCTGTGGTCTTTCTCTTGTGTAGATCATGTAGTTGATCACGCTTGTGCCCCCCACTGCCTTACATACAACAGCTCAGACATAAACAGCGGACGAAATTAGTGATGTTCAAATTGTTCTTCTTACCATCCGTAGTTGCCGTCTGCCGCGATCCGGTCCCAGACCTGTGGTCGGCCTCGTGTGTAGATCATGTAGTTGATCACGCTCGTGCCCCCCACTGCCTTACATACAACAGCTCAGACATAAACAGCGGACGAAATTAGTGATGTTCAAATTGTCCTTCTTACCATCCGTAGTTCCCGTCGGCCGCGATCCGGTCCCAGTCCTGTGGTCGGCCTCTTGTGTAGATCATGTAGTTGATCACGCTTGTACCCCCCACAGCTTTGCCGCGTGGCCAGAAGCACCGCTCGTTCTCCATACCTGCAATTAGGTATTACGGCAATTTATTCAGTTGCATGATAAAAATGATGACTGAAAGGCTTTTATAAAATTTAAATTATTTTTTACTACATTCTATTTTTTCTGATATTTGTTTAGTTCACCTCACTAGATAAAATCGTGATCTAGTGTTGTTTTTAAGACCTTCGCAGCAGGTCAAAGTAAAAAAGGTATTCATAAATTGACTCTATTGGACTCAATCAAGAATTGGTTTGACTAATAGCACAGAATTAGCTAATAGCTATAGCTAACGATTTGAAACGGTATTCTCTACACATTCAATCAAATATCTAAGTGAAGCATAGGTAAATGGTGACATGTTGCAGTGGTATCACTACGCTTCGCTCAAAAGAGCTAGGAGGTGGGAATCGAACCCACGACCTTTTGCATGCCGTGCTACTGAGCTACTTAAACATTGGGAGAACCGCTCGAAAATTTCAAGTTTACAAATTTTAAGGATTACCCATGCAAACTCCAGGTTGCGGCTCCATATAGTACTGCCAGGTGTAGTCCGTGGCCTGGAAGTAGGGAGCCATGGCTGGTATATCGGTCAGCAGCATCTCAGGTTTGCCAGCTTCGATCAGCAGCACCGTCACTTTTTTGTTTTCGGTCAGCCGGCTAGCGAGCGCGCTGCCAGCCGAACCGGCGCCTACGATTATGAAGTCGTACTCGGGCAACGGCGAGCTTAGGCCTGAAATTGTTTATGGAAACAGTAAAATTGATGTTCAATATGAAAAAAAAAACATTCTCCATTCTAAATGACTGATCAGCGGAGAATTATTTTTGTTTTCACCCCTTTTGGGAATTTGTTACCCCTTTGGATTTTTTTTCCCCTTTGACGTTATTCTAAATCTTATTTTCTGTACGCGCATTCTTCATTCAATTTATCTGTTTGAATTCCTAAGAAGATCTACAACTTGATCAACTAGGAATTCAAAGGAATAAATAAAATCTAATTGAAGAGAACGAAAATAAAATCAAATAACTCCCCCAAATCTTGAAAATCAATATTTTACTTGTTTTAAATTTTTAAATTAATTTTAACTTTTTTTCTTTTAGTGGACTTTTATTTTTTGCTTAGGTACTCAAAATAAATCTTGTAGTAAATACTGCAAAGGGAAAACGTGTTCTCACATAAATTGTTTTATTTTGCAACTGCAATGTAAAAAAACTTGAACTTGAAGTTGGTACGGCAATAAAACAGCCAGATGACCGGACTTCAAACCGGTCAGCCTGCGAAATTGTGAGGCCCTTTGACACATTACTATCAATTTTGCATTCAGTTGTAGGTATTTTATTGGGAATATACCGAGTATACCGTTGTTCATAGCCCGTATGACAGCTATCTTTTTTTTTCGAATAACGGATCACGGATTTGGCGTAGAGTGCCTTGACCTCACCTCTAAACTTTAGATGATAATATTTAATTTGTAAATTATTTTGAAAAATTACTTCTATGTAACAGACGCAGGCACATAATATTAAGTCTAGCGATCTGAGTAATAATGCCTTATTTAATATTGTAAGTATTTGATTCTGAGCTGTCCTTGGCTACAATTTTTCTGATTGATTCACGTACCTTTAGGTACCTACTAGACTTATTTTTCGTGTTATAAAGAAAAGGACAAGTGTCGATCGTTGAGGTTAAGGTCAAGTAATAAATAAATACGTCACATGCAAGCTTTAATTTAAAAACTTGATCTACTGAAAGCGATTTCTTCCAAACAGCCTACAGGTTTAAGATAGTTTGTTAAAATACCAAAAAAATTTTTTTTTAATTAATTCAAAATGAAAAGCGAAAGAAAAGTGCTCTATATTTTAATTGGGGTAGATAATTTTAATTAATGTTTCCAATATGTATAATATTCTATGTCTTCACTTACCATTGGGTAATGGATATGAGTCCCGTATGAAGTTGAAGAAGTCCCCGTTTCCTTTGTAAGCGAAGTGGTTTCCACTCGACTTCAGTACCAAATCTAGCATGGGATGGTACGACCACAACAGTCTACCACCCCTGCCTTCGCTACCTCCTGCATATCCCAGTATTTCTTCATAGCTATCTTCATCACTCACTTCCTCGTCACATGTCAAAGTTCCAATTAAAAGAAACAAAAGAATGTGAACCCTTCTTAACATGATAAAATAATAAAATTCTTAATACGAACACTTTAATATTTATTTTGATTGGCAGCGGTTCTTCCGCTTTATGCTATGGCCTACAACTGTATGAGTCAGGATCATGCCAGTGCCCTGAACTCGGAACAAGTTCAAAAATCCTCGGGTGGAGGGGACATTTTGTGTTTCTACCGGTCTGGCTGTAATTACAACATTTTAATTTGAATTGTTAATAACACATCTTACATTGTGATTTTCATAATCTTGTTTGCGTCATTAAACGTAAGTATTATGAATTTAAGAGCGTAAGTTTGATCTCTGCATTTAAAGTAAAATATATTATTAATATTAATATATCGAAGCACGTTAAGTAATTCTTATTTTTGAAAAGTAAACGATAGTGAATTTTCACATCAATGAAAAATACGTCTACAATAAGGACTTAGTAGGGATTAATTATTTTAACATATTTACTTACAAATACCTATATTTAACTAACCTTACCAAAGATATAACAAAATAACAACTCTATTATTTACAAAAACCTTTGACATCAAATTTTGTATTTGTACTAAATCCCATAATGGATTATCTTATCTACTAAAACATTACATTTAACTTAGAAATAAAACAAAATAACAACTCTAATATGTACAAAAAATATTTAGCTAACATTAATGATTATTTTTAAAGCTAATCCAACGTCCCTTTGATCATATCAGCGGCTTTTTCGCCAATCATGATTGCAGGCGCGTTTGTATGCAGAGACAATGTGCGCGGGAGCACGCTGGAATCTACCACACGAAGCCGGCTGACCCCATACACTCTTAGTTCAGGGTCCACGACCGCTAAAGGATCGGTTTTCGGCCCCATACGACATGTACTAATCTGATGGTGTAAAGTCGCCGTCAAAGTCCGTAAAGCGCATTCCCAATACGCATCTGTATCGAACACCAGCCCCGGACAAGTCGTGTAGTTCGCTGGGTATATACGAGCCCCCAATTTCTGGAACGGCTCAGTCTCTGTTAAGGCCTGGATAAACCGAATCGACGTGAACGTCAGAATGGCGGGTGTATGGTCACAGAAATGAATAATATAAATATGAAATTTTAATACCTGAGGTGTACCTTTATGTACCTTTAGTTATTAATTTTGTACTTCCCTAATACGGGAACAATTTAAATTACAAAATGAGCCGCCAACCTGATATCAGGTTGGCGGCTCATTTTGTAATTTAAATTGTTCCCGTATTAGGGAAGTACAAAATTAATAACTAAAGGTACATAAAGGTACACCTCAGGTATTAAAATTTCATATTTATATTATTCATTTCTGTGACCATACACCCGCCATTCTGACGTTCACGAATCGACGCTATGAACGTCGCTACATCGGTTGGATCCGTCAAATAGTTTCCGTACATCCGAGGATGACTAAACGGGTTGTTATCTTTCAACTCCAAGTACCCCACCGACTTCGGATGCAGTAACATAGGAAATGCAGTCCATGTATCGGTAGCGTCGACAGGACCAAATGCCGCATCGAATAAATCGTCCCTTATGAACATACCTCTTCTTACAGCTTTACTGCCTCCAGAACCACCATCTGATACTATGGAACCCCCTATGCTTATCAATTCTATGTCTGGGATTGGGTCAGGATCGTCTGATACAGGAGTTTTTATATACCCGATGCCTTCAGCTGCGCCAGTTGTAGTGACTGGACCGTCTCCATATTGAATCCATTGAATAACGTTGCTGAAAGTGGTCTCACGTGTTTCGATCAGACTTACATTCGTGACGTTGAGGGTAAACACTAAACCAGGGAATGTTATGTGATCGTAAAGAGTTTGACCAACGGGCAGATCTTGTATTAATGGTATGCCATGACGGCTTAACTGATTTTTTGGACCGATTCCAGACAACATTAAGAGTTGAGGCGATGCGATGGGTCCAGCTGATAGAATTACTTCTCTTCTCGCTCGAACTTCAAATTGTAAGCGATTTCGTACATATTGTACACCATAGGTAGCTCTGGTCATAGGATTGATTAGAACTTTTGATACAACGGCCATGGGCAAAATGTGGAGGTTAGGTCTTTCTTTGTTTTTGTGTAAGAATGCTTTGGCGGCACTAGTTCTTTTGCCATTGTGTATAGTTGCTTGTAGGTATCCAAAGCCTAATTGTTCAGGGGAGTTGTAGTCTACAGTAGGGTATCCTAGCATTCTTCCGGCTTCCAGAAAAGTGTCAATGAGTGGTGTTCTAAAAATAAAAGAACAAATTAATCCAGTATTATAAAAATAACATTAAGTACACACTACGTGAAGGCTAACACTGTGATAATTTATTTAGGTAACATCTAATGAGTGCGATTATGTATCAATACATTGAAATCTTACCTAAAAGGCACAGTTTCCACGTTAAGTTCTCCAGAAGTCCCATGATACGGAGAATTTGGTATGCCAACCAGATTGGCTCGTTCCGATTTCATGTAATACTGTAGGACGTCACTATACGACCTGAAAAATATATCACCTTATAGTATGTTCATTCGTTTCAGCCAAATGACGTCCACTGCTGGATAAAGGTCTCCCCAAGGATTTCCATAACGACCGGTACTGCGTTGCCCGCATCCAGGTTCTTCCAGCGACCTTCACCAGATCGTCGGTTCACCTAGTGAGGCGCCTGCTCACGCTACGGCTCGTGGTCGCCACTCGAGAACTTTTCTACCCCAACTATGTGCCCCGCCCACTGCCACTTTAGCAATTCTGCGGGCTTTGGCTGTCACTTTAAGTATTTTACGTTTTGGTTATCAACAAGAAAAAAAAATACTTTTAAGCCTTTGATGGTGGAAGAATTGATGCCTTTATACATTTTGAACTTTATTGAGATAAGGTTGAATGATGAATTTATTACCATCCGTAGTTGCCAGCCGCCTCGATGCGGTCCCACTCCTCAGGGCGGCCTCGGGTGTATATCATGTAGTTTATGACACTAGTGCCTCCCACCGCGCGCCCTCGGGGCCAGTAACACCTCTGATTGACCATTCCTGTCGAAGATGTCATAATAATGCATTAAGATGCCAATGTCGCCAATCAGTGAGTGTTATTAAATGGCTAATGATCATATTTACTGCCAAAAAACATTCAATAAGTCTGTTGTAAATTACAAATTGTAATTGATTACTTTTCCGTGTAATGCGATAGTGCCACAAAAACTCAGCGTGTGAAGTAAAAATAGCAACTCAATAAAAAAATATTAGGTATTGCTCAGTGCCTTTGTCATTTCCGTAATGTTGGAGTTAAAAAAAAGATTTACCCATATTTTTTTTAGAAAAATAACACCCAAAGTAGCCAAAAAGTTTGCACCACATCTTTGTTACAATTTGAATAAGGTTGTGTTGATTCAATTTTTTGGTTAAGTTTTGGTCACGAACTATTTGACGTTGACTGTAGGTACCTACTCATAAGTATGTTTTCGAAGACAGACATCCTGGTCTGCATTACTTAACTCAGTGCAAAAAACGTATTTTTTACTTACCACGGCATACTCCTTGCTGGGGCTCCATAAAATACGGCCAGCTGTATTCCGTTCTCTGGAAAAAGGGCGCTATGGCTGGTATGTCAGTCAGCAGGTTCTCTGGTTTCCCAGCTTCCAGCACCAAAACTGTCACGCTAGGGTCCTCAGAGAGACGGGCAGCGAGGACGCTACCTGCAGACCCTGCCCCGACTATGATGTAATCGTACTCGGTGAACGGTGATTGAAGTCCTGGAAATAAATGTAGAACACTTGAAGTAAAGAAAATACTTTTTAAATGTAGCATAAAGCAGGTTATATTCAAGGCATTTTTTCCCCGAAAAAAAAAAGGTTTTTGACTGGCAATCACATTAATTTGATGTTGAGGGAGCTGTAGTCTAGGATGGAGTGATACCTACCTGTCCTGTAAGTAGGGATTTTTTAAAGAAACTAGCAAATGTCAAGTAACAGATACATGTTGAAAAACCTACGTTTCAACAAGAAATTAAGTGATGTTACGTTACGATCTATCAAATTAATTTAATATTATCTAGAAATCATAGCATAAGTACCTATAGTAATAATATTTTTTGCATCATCAGAAGATGAGCGAACGGAATGTATGGAACCCACTGCACGCGTAATTAATTCGCAATCAGCCGGTTATAAAATCTTAATTAAGGTCTCAATCTGATATTTAATGCACACATGTTGTATTTTGGCTTCACGAATCAAGACAATCTTGCTAATGTGCGCTTAGATGACACAAATTCCACAATGTAACTTCCCTTGAAAACGTTTCCGGCTCTGCGAACTATTACACGCTTATCTAGTTTAGTTTTATGGTCTGCCGGTCTTCAAAGTCTAGATTACTAGATGTCAAGGCGATAAGCCTTCATATTTGATTCGATGCAATTAACGCGTAGATGCAACAAAATTACTTAATCGAGTTGCGAATTATTTGTGTGATGCAAACTTTATGGAGCATGTGAAAGGTAGTATAAATTAAGAGTTGTGTGATTGATTAACACCCGTATTCACAAAAATTACTATGAGGTCTTAAAACTCTTACTTACGCGTGGACGCACAGGGTCCCAAAAACGTATTACGTAGACAATATTGAGTGGCAGAGTGACACACACAAACCAATCACAGTCTATTCAACGCTATGCGGACATAAATTAATATTTCTACCCAAATGTCTAGAGCATGACCATGTCTAGAGAGATAGAAAAATGTCCTTTTCAAAGAGTGCTAGCTTCTAGTTTTAAAACCCGCTATTTACGAATAATTTATCGGCTGTCTATGGAAAAAATGCCTTAGGCCCAGAACAGACGGTGAAACGAAACTGCAACTATCTGAAGATTCTGATGAATGAAACTGAAACTGAAAGTTGCTAACTGGTCGTGTCATGTGTGGTCTCTCAACGGACGCTATGGCAGAAAATTAGATGCAACTCAAAAGTAACTAGCAGTTGCAGTTTCGTTGCAATTGCGTTTCACCGTCTGTTC